CGCACGCGCGCACGATAGAAGCGTAGTTACGTGCACGCTACGCGCACGCGCGCACGATAGAAGCGTAGTTACGTGCACGCTACACGCACGCGCGCACGATAGAAGCGTAGTTACGTGCACGCTACACGCACGCGCGCACGATAGACGCGTAGTTAGTTACATGCACGCTACACGCACGCGCGCACGATAGAAGCGTAGTTACGCTTTGACGCACCCGCTATACGCCGTTCGGGGGGAAACACGCTACGATCAAGTAGGTTACGTGCCTTCCTCTATGTACGTACGCACGTGGAGAACAGGTTACATCAATATGAGCTCAAACGCAGTCAAAACATTATTTTCACGCGCACGCGCGCGTATAGTTACGCATAGTTACACCCCCATCTCCCAACATAATACTATTGCTCTATTTTCCCTTTCTATTCAGTCTACGTTTCAATGTAATGTAGCTACGATGTTATAACGTCACGTCCTCCATCTAAACGGTGTTTCCCGTGATAAACATTCGATGATGTATTGGACAGCACACAATGCTAGCAACTAACAGTTATCAATTAGTATGTTAATTAAATATTAATTATTGCCGTTATTCGACTATTACCTGTCATGAAGTTGATATTTGACAAATAATTACGGTGCGCACATGCTATAGTATTTTACATATACAGCACTTCTATAAATGAAAGTTATACAAGCGCGCACACACGTATAAATATCTCATTAATTTGCATACGGACATCGAAATTCAATTAGTTCGCGATAATTGCGCGAGTTTAATTAACATAACGAAAAAGTTCACACGCATTAGATATTTTTTATATACGCGCAGGAAATTCGCATTTAATGTCGTTATATACGGCGGTTCTGAAACGTGCGATTTTTCGCCAAACCCGGAGAAATCAACCCGCAGGAATACACGCTAACATGTACCGACCATTTTAACGCGTAGTATTCCTAAGGGTGAAATTTGGTCCAGAAAGTTTTCGGCCAGATCAAATACATTATTGAGGAGAAGACAGAAGTATGATAGCGGTAGAGTATATACTTACTTCTACTAAAATGGCAGTCACGTATAAGGGCACATGGGGGAACAGCGTTTTAGATTAGTGGTCATTTCAGCTATCCCTGTGGTGATATTTTACAATCATCAACATAGTTACAATCATCTAATGAAATTTGCAAGCCCGCCCATAAACTGAAGTGTCCGAGGACACGACTAAAACTTCGTAGAAATAGTAAAATTGAATCAAATACACATATGAAATAAATAAATGAAATAGACATGGGAAATTGTAAAAATAATTGAAATTGTAGAACTATTTTCGAACTACAGAATTTTACATTGTATTGTAGAACTACAGACACAGACACACAGACACACGCACACGCACACACTCACACACACACACACACACACACACACACACTACAACACACATCACACACACACGCATCAAACACACACGTACATTGACACGCACACCACACCACAAACACACACACACACACATCACACACCACACAAACACACCACACTCATTACACACCACACACAGCGCCGCCTCCACACTCACACGACACCACACTCACACGCACGCAACACCACAACTCACACTCACACTTCACACCTACACTACACGCCACCGTACACTCACAACGCACACGACACCACACACACACACACCACACATACACACACACACACAACACACAACTCATCACACACACACGCCGCGCCCGCACTCCACAACTCACACGCGATCACGCCACACTCACAGCACTCCACACGCTACATCTCACACGCACACGTAACACCACATCACACACACACACAACCCACTACCACACACACATCTACATACACACAACACCACTACACTGCTGCGACCCGCACCAACCACACGCACACCACACACCACACACCCCATTCATACAACACACACACACACAACACTTCACACGGCAGGCCCACCGCAGGTCCCCGACTCTCCTCACACGCCACACGCCTACCAGCGTCAGCCACTCACACGCACGCAACGCCACACTCACACCACACGTACACTCACACGCACACTCCGACAGCTCACGAATCGGCACACGCTACCACTCACCACGCACACCGTACGGGCTCAACATCGCCACACCCTATCTCTCACAACCGAGCGTACGTACAACCTGGCCACACGTACCACTCATCACCACATCGCCACACTCACACTCATCACTCACACTCACACGCACACCGACACACACCACACGAACACACACACACATCACACATCACACACATCATACACCCGCACACACCCACCACACAATTAACACACACACTACACACACACACACACACACACACACACACACACAGCATACACACACACATACACACACATCACACACACACACTACATACACTACTACACACACACACCACACACAAACACACCACACACACACACCACATCACACACACATACATCACACACACACACACACACACACACACACACACACACACACACACACACACACACACACATCCAGATCGGAATTTCTTTACATAACACCGGACGAAGCACGATCTCTAGAAGCGCGCTTCCCTCCCCAATAATAGTCGCTCTCGTGCTCGCATCTGTTGGCGCGCGCGGGGGCGGCACAGCGCAGCATCAATAGAGCCGACCTGCCACGAACAGGGGCAAGAGCGGGAGGGGGGGACTCTCATGCCACTTAACACTGATAGACACGTAAGCCGCCTATTAGCGGTCGCTGCCTGCCGCACGAACCACGGCGGCGAAGCGAGTTCTGGTCGCAGCAGGAGGCCTTGACGCTAAGCACCCTCCTCCCCCTCCTCCCCTCTCCCCCTCTCCCGATGCTCTCCCGGGGAGCGGGTTATTATTGCGACTGACGCCGCCATTAAGAGGTCGCCTCCCTCGGCGGAGCTTCGTCGTGATGGGTGTGTGACTGCAGCGCGGGAGCGGGACGCGGCAGGGGACCTGACAAGTGAAACCATCGTCGTCGTCGTCGAGTTGGCGACACACCTGTTTCTGCGACACGCGCAACACACGCGGAGAAGCGCCCAGAGGGACAATTATATTGCAATATTGCTAAAAGGATGGCAAGGTATACAAACGCAGGCGGAATTGCTGGGGGTCACTTTACGTTATACGGGTATGGGCAGGATTGGGATTAGGGAATTAGGGTTAAGATTAAGATATGGTAAGTGTTAGTATTAAGGTTTGCGTAGCCATGCGACAATGGCAGTCACTGATCACCCGATGACGATTCATACACACTCACTACATAATAACACACTACATTCGTTCACGAATAAGATAATAACCTCCTTTATAACCACCCTAGTACGAATGACTATACGTAATAAATCACATCATAATGTCATGAATAAAATCAGGAACACATCAAAGTGGTTTGATGTGCTCCCATAGCAATATAATTATATAATCGTTAGCCAGATAATGTGCGGTCGTCGGCGGCAACGTGGGTCGGAACAGTTGCCGCTGGATGAGTAACGGTGGACCAATGTTGCGCAAGTGACTGGTACGGTGGTTAGGTCGACATGGCTATATGCTGGGTTGTTGTCAAAGACCGTATAAAATTTCGTTACTATTGTATAAGGTTTTTGCTATTTTAAATTTATGCTTATTCTTTGTTGTTAATATTATTGATAATAATTAACATTATTATTTGTCATTGTTAATAATTACTTAAGTTATTATTAATGATTAGTACTGATAAATCATTATTATAATTGAGATTACTATTATAGTTAATTATTATATGTAACATCAATATTGTTATTGAAATGTCTTTTATTATTAGGTTATTAGTAGAATCATGGGGTACAATCATTGAGCTGTATTAATAGACTCATTAATAGTTCATTAATAGTTCATTAATAGTGCATTAATAGTGCATTAATAGTTCATTAATAGTGCATTAATAGTTCATTAATAGTGCATTAATATACTCATTAATTGTTCATTAATAGTGCATTAATATACTCATTAATAGTTCATTAATAGTTCATTAATAGTTCATTAATAGTGCATTAATTGTTCATTAATAGTTCATTAATAGTGCATTAATATACTCATTAATAGTGCATTAATAGTGCATTAATAGTGCATTAATAGTGCATTAATAGAGCTCAGTGGGTAGAATGTGTTTTTATTCACTCCTAGTAGAATATCCCGGATCCGGTTTAATAGTGGAGAAGGATATTCAGAGGAGAATATGGGGATGAGGATGGCATGGAGGGAGAAAGATGGGAGTGGAACGATCACAGGCCTTCAAAGCCCCGCCACCAACATCACACCAGGTCGCGCTTTATCGTGGAGTCAACTAGGGTCCCTGTATACAGAGTATATAGGGACCCTAGAGTCAACGAACCGAACAAGGGAGCGCTCACGTGACAACCGGAGTATGGTGCGGAATCTCTATAAAAGGATTCTACTCCAGCAGGTGGCAAAGGGGAAAGGGGTCAGCAGTGATGGTCTCTCATCTCCCCAAGGTGTCCGTGTAAGCTAGTTACACATGCACGCAGCAGCAGCAGCAGCAGCAGCAGCAGCAGCAGCAGCAGCAGCAGCAGCAGCAGCAGCAGCAGTTAGTGGCACTTCACTGAATCAGCAGCGTGGTGACACGCACGGTGAGCTTCGCATTGCATCATTACATGGGAGACATTCATGAATATAGCGATAAACTTGTTCGTTGCCAGACTTCACATGTAGACGGCGGCAGCAGCACGGCAGGATCAGCGATGGCTTCAAGCTATTACGTCACAGTAAATAGTAAAAGTAAAAAAATGATGTCCACTTTTTCACAAAATGTAAGTGCTTCTGTTCAGTTTCGATGGATAAATTGCTGCATTATACTTCCTATTTTGTTATTTCGTTCGATGTGAACAAACACTCGTGACTCATACATAGCCCATAGCAATCATTTAATGTCATGATCAATATAACAGATCGCCGAGGTTTTTTTGAATTTTTAACTAGTTCAGAAACAATCTTATCAGGTAAGAATTTGAGGATACATTTAGTCCCGTTAGTAATTACTTTTTATGTAAAAAAAATTGCAACAAATCTTTTTACAAATATACACCATAGACAATTTGTGACGTAGTCAATTTAACGCGCTTTGCATTGTCCGTGGTCCGAGTTTCATTTCCTCCAGTAATGACGGCAGACGAAACTCATTACATATTTAATTTGACATATTGAATTTTACTTATTGAATTTTCATGTAGCTACTCGTTCGTATAGCACGCATTAGAATATTGGCATTAATGGTTCTTGGCATTTTATGACCGCCAATGAGTAGAAAAAACCCTGCTAATTTTTCGTTAGAAGTTTGTATAATTCTACGCATGTTATTAATGCTATTCCCCCATCCCCAACCCAAACTTCGCCAGTATTATTAATGAAAACACACTGGTCTACCTGTAAGATTTCAACAAACCACACATTGGCATATGTAAACTATAATGTCGTAATAAGGCACAGCACTACTTTTGATCTATACAGCCAAGTCAATAGCAATATTCCAATGCGTGAGTAGCAGGTACATAAGCCCTTTGCGGTTGCTATACAATCATTCTCTGACGGGTTGCTCTGCAAGGATTACTACTCTGACCTTTATTTGCTCCGTGCGAACTGGTTCATTCATTGATGCATAATTATTGAACACCCAACCACGCACGGACGCACGCACGTACGCACGCACGCACGCACACGCACGCACACACACACACACACCGGCGAACGAACGCCCACACACATGCATACACTTTACACACACATTACATACGCACACCTACGTATTGTTACGAACTTAGCAGCGCATGCACAGGTTACTCGTGCATTGATACATCGTGTCACAGCTTGCGCTGCACACCAGATGAATAATAATATCACGTTATGAAATATGCCATTCACACCTCCTACCTACCAGCTGCCCACCCCTGCACTCTCACGCCTCCACCTATATCCATGTATTCATACATTTCGTATCCGAGTAAGCAGTGAGGTGCAAGAACTCGATAGAAGAGCGGTTCATTCTCTATGCGATCAATATGTGGCAAATAACCGCCCGTAGCCGATGCTCAAGTTCTACATGTTAGCACAGAAATATCTAGAATTGGGTTGAAGAATTTTTCCACTCGATTCTCGGTTTGCCCTCATAACGGGAAGCTATGTTTTGCATTCCAATTTGCGTGATATCCGTCGGAGAAAATTGCGTGACATGTGCAAGTGTTGCAGTGTTGCTTCGCACCAAGAACAACAGTAGCTAAACAACAATAATGTGCTAGGAATAAATTCTCACTTATACGTAAAGAATATGTTTATTACCATGATCTGTTGTGACCATAAGGTGTACGCAGCAGCTGTTAACTGGTTATCAATATTTTACCATATATTTTTCAATCACAGATGTAACAAAGGCCTTCCTGGCACACAGCCAGGAAGGAACAAAAAGTAGAGCTAATACTTCCTTCGACGACACTTACGGACAAACTTGGTTCACACACAACAAATAACAGGGAGGTTTACTGGATGCACCCCTGCCAGCCAGCCTAAACTTCATGCCAACTGCAAGAAAATGCTACCTGACTGTTTCCGCTTCACTGTTGCGTCACTAGATGGCGCTAATCCCAATCGTCGTCATCGTCGTGACTCTGGCTGCGACCGGCCTTGCTAAGCGGCGGCGGAATCATCGCAGATATCTTCTCCATCGCAGTGCTGCCACCTGTTGGCGCAGCAGGCTGAGAACCATCCCCCGTGTCACTTCTGGAAGTTCTTGTACCTGGTTGCATAGTAGACACCGATTAACCTCAATTATCCCCAAAAAATCCACGGGAGACAAACTAAACGAGATGGACTAATTTTGTGGACCAATTTTCCATTGAAAACCAATAGTTAAAAGACGAGATAAAAGATTTAAAAAACGCGTACAGGGTCAACGATGTAGATATCGATGCATGCAGTTTTTTTTCTGTATTTAAGGTCATTGCGGGTCACATTAACCATATCTATGGTTAGCACTGCATGCAGTTCATGGCTATCACAGTAACGGGACATCACACGCATCACACGTAATGGCGAGCTGCGAAATCGTGCGGAGCTCGTTCACCTGATATCGCTTTACGTCGCAGAGCTATTTTATTCATTAGATCTCCCATCAGGTCGCCGCCGCCTTCGTCTTTCGCAGCTGCGGCTTCCTTCTTACGCTTGCTCTCCATCTTTCTGTCCTGTGCGTTGTGCAATTTGCCCTTGCCCTTGCCACCAGCCTATAAATGCAAACACAACTCTAAATGATATCTCCACTTCGGCAGTGTACACAGCAAATGTCGTCAGTGGAAAATTAAGTCTTTTACTCCACGAGAGATTCCACTCAACTCTGAGCATGAGCATGGATCAAATTTATCCAAAACATCGATCCACTTCGTCTCCAAGCATGGAAATAAAGATTTCATCGGATTGAAAGTGAACATTAATGCTAATAGAGGTGTGGCATTCCAAGCTACCAACATCGACTTCAATAAACCAAATCGGAAAGTCTCCGGCGCCATATTAAGATCAGATAAGAGGGGGTATAAACTGACATTTTATAACATGGGTAGGATAGGACTATTCTAGGTGTTTGATCTATAATTCTCTTCACTAACATCGTACTTCAATTCACAGGCAAGTTTCTGTTTACATAAACATTTACTAATAATTATGATTGTGGTCGTTTGGGATATTTTTCAATGTGTTAATGCAAAAAACTAAAAACGCACGAGTGTTTACATTAATCATGTACTTTCCTAAGCGCGCCTCAGCCATTTTATACCCCCTTTTTCTGTGACCTACATAGCACAGCTGGACTTTCCGATCTCACTTATAAGAGAACAACACTGATGTTTACCAGCAGTCTAACTACTAAAGGTATTTATGACAAAAAAAAAATTTATACTACCCTTTGCCTACATCCTCCACCTTGGAGCTTTCCAAATTAACCGTAAAAAAATATTGAGCAGGAAATATCAGAATCGCGCTGCTACAATGCCATTCAGTCGATCACACGCTCCTCACCCACCTGTCTTATAGCCGCCAAAAGATCCGCACGTCCGTCACCAGGGAGCACCACCTCTGCCGGTGCACCGGAAATCTTAGGCAACTGCTTCCCGCCTTCATTTTCCTCCTGCGTCGCGGAAACTTCGGGAGGTGGCGGGGGAGGGGGAGGAGGAGGAGGAGGACCGCCAGCAGCAGACGTAGAAGGATGCCGCGGAGCTGCCGAGTCCACGGGAGGTGGAAGAGGAGGAGGAGGAGGAGGACCGGCTTGCGATTGATCAATGGAGGGTAGCGTGGGGTCCGGTACGACAGAAGGAAGTTCTGGGATGGCTCCACCGATCACGGTCACCGAGGGGGCGATCGACGGACCAAGGTCTGCGCTGTACAGAAGGTCGTCTGCTATACCTGTATGTTAAAAAAAAATGGAGAATTTGAAAACGAACGTAAATATGAAATTTTAAACACGGTACAAAACCACGACACTAGGAGAACAATCGTATATCAACTACACAGACAGATAAACCTACATGATACCATTGCCACCACGATGAAATCACATACATCCAAGTTATAAGCCCCCACTTATATTTGTACAATTCAATAGTGAGTACACCATCCTGTTTCAACCTCGCAGATACTGGTTTTTGATACCACGATTAGAGAGCAAACACGGGAAAGGTCTTTTACCTGGCAGGTCGGGCAAGTACGAGGGCAAATCGAACTCTGGAACGTTGCCAAGATCCGGGTGGTAGAAGTAATCGTCGGTCGACGGCCGGAATGTCTGCTCGCGATCGGTGATTGTGACGGGTGCGTCGCCGATCCCCTCCTCCTCCTCCTGCACTCCAGCTCGGGTTTTAGTAACGGCTCCCAGCGGGTCCAGCATCATGTACTTCTTGTACCTAAAATATCAGCGTGATAGCTCTCGGTGACCCACGTGGGGTGATCTACAATGGCGCAAAACCCAGCTGGTGCCTGCAATGTAGCTACTAGTGATGGTGAGTTTTGTGTTCAGAATCCCCTTGGAGACAAAGCATAGCCTGCTATAGTTGACATGTGAAAACCAAGGGATGCTGGGGAAGCGAATATTTTCCCCAGAACGGGATACTCACGGGTTTTCGGTGGTGTTGAACAGCAACAGCGAGCTGACCGATCGAATGTTTTCGGGTAGCCGTCCGAGACCCTCTCCCTGGTCCTCTGCCTGTGCTCGCCGCGGTCTGATGTTGATGTTCGTAAGCCATAGACTGTCCTTGAGGTTTCTATCATCAAGCGGGATGTGTCTGCTCTGAAAGAACGAAAAGCTCACCAGCTGTAGCCGGGTACCATCTACTGGGATTGACATTGTGACGGTCCTACGCAATTTTTTGGGCTCTGCTAGATTATCACAACTATCGATTAGTTTTTATATGTGCTGCATCAGCATACTTGGCCAAGATTAAATCATTATGACTTGGCAGATGGATTCATGTACCTATTCACTATTCAAGTCCACTTATAAATGGGTAAACGCACGTGGACAAGATAAAAACAAAATTCCAAATGGCTCTGTTGGTTCTGCTAACCTGCAGCTTGCCTATGTTTCTTTTCATCTCTCTGAGCTTCTCTTCTTCTTTGTAGATGGTCTGATACTCAGTGACGCAGTCCGCTCCCGGGTACTTCGCACTGGCGAACACTCGAATCGCCTTACTGGTCCCTTTACATGAGAAATATTTGTGACAGTTATACCAGAAATCTCAACTATACTAAACCACATAACAATTTAGAATTCCAGTAATGCTGTACGTGCCAATTACACTGACCTCGAATGCGATCTATTTTAGCTTGTGCAACGTCAGCGCGTGATCTCAGCGTCTCCAGTCTCTTCTTATTCTCTGCAACCTGAAATCAGATCATTTTGAAAAAATATTTAGGTTTATGAGAACTGCACGTACCTATACTTACTGCACCAGGCAAGTAAACCAAAACTGACCGTACAAAAAAATTGCAATCACTTCATGGGGTACCGGTAGGCGGTACCAAATCAGGAAGTTCACCTATCGCAGTATCGACCATTTAGTGGAGTTGAAGAAACAAGTGGATTGTTCTATTGTGATAAGCAAGCATTGCAAAATATTTCCAGATTCATAGATTATTGAAACTACATAAGAATCAAGATTACGAAAATACACATTTTGACCAAACCTAGTAGTAGTACTAGTAGTAGGAGTAGGACAACACAGCGCGGTTAGGTATTACAATGCCAACCTGTGTGTTTATTCGCCTGAATACATCATCAGTAATGTGTTCCAGATACTGTAGTGTATCCGCGATGTGTTTGACAGTTTCCTCTCTCCGCAGATTTGTCGGGATCAGCGGTACATTGTACGTATAACCATGGTCAACGGAGTGATGCTGTAGATGCATAGCCATAGCTGCTCCAGCTGGCGGCATACCGTATTTCACAACAAATTTAAGTGTCAGACCTGGTCAAGATGCCAGTTACTATCATGACAAACAGCAGATTGACAGTAACATTAAAAGAACACGACAAGTTTTGACTACAACACTCTAATTCAGTAATTTTCAGCAATGATACACACTTTCACTGAACTGTTCCCTCCCACACCATTTCCGATATCGTACTGTAAACATTTGGTACACGATTTATGATACTCACTTTATTGTTTTCAGCTCAAAATATTTTATTTATAATTTTAAAATGTATAAATGAACAATTATGTAACATACAACTATAATTTTGACATGCTACTGATTGAATATATTTTTACGTGATTTATTTTGTTAAGAGCTGTAGTATCGAATAGTAGGTTAATAGGATATGACGTAATTGCCACTCTTATTACAACATGGAGGAGTACGCACGTGAACCTTGGTAACAATTTTCTAATAGATATAATTAGTTGGTGTTAACAGTGTCTATACCACCGGTAAATAACAAATCATATATTGGCGCAAGTAGATATGATTGAATTTTTATAGTGATAATTTCTGTCTTTACGAAAATTGGCCGAAATCGAGTCATGTGCAAGGTCAAATATCATATCGGTAAAAAAGTCCTAGGCTAGAGACTAGAGTCCCTTCTCAATCTCACTCAGTCACTGCCCGTTGTCGTTGTGTTGATATATCTTATTGTCTATTGTCTACACTGAACAGTAACGTGAACACATACAAAATTAATTGTTTCACTGAATCCAGCACACTGAGAAGTCATCCCAAGTCACAATCGCGTCTAAAATCGAGTTACTCATTTAAATTAGTGATTAACATAAATTGTATTTGTAAAATTACATTTGAAGTTAGGCCTACTCAAATTAGTGTTGCTAATGCTATGCTGTACATCACGGACACTATGCTGTATCAGCAAGACCCCTAATTGACTTTACAAGCCTGGTCGCTGCGCTGAGCGTGATCATTGCTTTCGACATGTGCGATCTTCTTTAAGGATCCTTTTAAGCTTAGCTTCCTTATTTTTGTCATTCCGTATTGCTTATTGGAATTCTCTCCCTTCGTCTTTAGTAAATTGCAAATTTGCAATCGCCTATTCTGGCTTGGTATCCACCCATTGGATAGGTAAAATAAATGATTTTTGTTTTGATTTCAGCCCATGGCGAATCGTGGACGATTGTGGCGGGGCCTTCACAATGGGTGCCATCGGTGGAGCTGTGTTCCAGAGTATTAAAGGATTCAGAAATGCACCTAGTGTAAGATTTACAGATAGCCAGACTTTAAATACGTGTATATCCCTTACGTGGCCGTGTCTCTTCCTCTGCTGATGCAAAATTCTATGTTTTTATCTAATGTTTATATACAACAGCCAGAAGATGCATGTTGGTTAATTTGGTTGACAATCAGTTGCTAATATAAAGCATTATGTATAAAGAATTCATTTCTTTACAGGGACTAAATAGACGATTAATGGGCAGTGTGATATCAATAAAAGAACGTGCACCAATCATAGGAGGTAAGCTAAATCATGAGATCCAACTATGCCAAATAGTTACTATTCTGCACATTGAAATCTGTTTTAGTATGCAGCGTTCACCATGCGTAATCTGAGCGGTGGTAACTTGAGGGAAAAAAAATTCCGTCGTAATAGTGATGTAATTGACATCAATAATGTTCACTATGTACGCGTATGTAGGTCGTTGAATCGAGCATTGACTGTGGTTCGCTTGGCTCTGATCTCGTGTGTGTGATTCAGGTAACTTTGCCGTCTGGGGTGGACTTTTCTCTACGATCGACTGCACACTTGTACACATACGTAAGAAGGAGGATCCCTGGAACTCTATAACGAGCGGCGCGCTAACCGGCGGCATTCTAGCCGTGCGAAGTAGGTCCACTTGCAATATTGTGATTAGAGAACTCTAACTCATTACTTGATGTTAATTCTTTTACATAATTATTATTCCATTTGTTTCTCTTTTGTCTTAGATGCTGTTGGCATAAATAAGTATAAGACTATTTGCTTTCTGACGTCTGATGCGGTTTTATTCTTGTTTAATCAATGGCAACAGCATCTAAGACAAAAGAGAAACAAATGGAACAATAATTATGTAAGAGAATTAACATCAAGTAATATATACAGTGAGTCAGAGTTCTCTAGTGATGGCGGCATTAAACGTATTGTGTCGTTTGCTTAAGTATTCACATGAAGGGTTTTTGAAAATGTCTTTGAGGCTATTGTCAAATGGTACCTAAAGCCAAAACAAAATATAGGTGTGGTTACTGTTTCATGCCGAAAAAAATAGGGTAGGTAGGTAGGGGAAACATTTTATTTTATTGAAACATTTTATTTACGAACCATGTCCGAAGGATGTGCGTTGTGCCTTTTGAAGCAGGAACTGTCCAATTCATATATTTTTTTATTTTTTGTAAAAAAAAAATTCTTTTTTTTACTTTAAAGAAAATTGACAATAAAATGTTTAGGGTCGCAGGGAATAAATAGGGTCGGTCGGGAAACGGTAACCACACCTATATTTTGTTTTGGCCTAACGAGGTAAAATGCATACTAGTTTATTGGGGTTAAAGGGACAGTAGCCTCTAGGATTTTACTGCATACAACTGTACTTACTGTATAACAAATCGTCTATACCCACACGTATTTGTTACCAGATACCTAATTTAATTGTTATAATTATTTACACATCAATGCTACGAAATTTGAACGGTGCCATGACACCCGCGACCGTGCTGCCACCTCAAAAAAGTTGCGTATTTGACAATTTATTTTGCCGAGGGCTAATCACAAAAGTGCAATTATATTTATACCTAAATGCTATTTAACCGAACGATATTCATTTTAGGGCAAATTTATCCATATTATAACTGAAACTATATGTCGTTTATATGATATTACAATACTTTTCCTTTTAAATGAATAAATAAGAAACACCCTCGGTCTGTAGCCCTTGGTTGGAAAGTGGTTTTGCGCAACTTATCAGATCGTGCACTTTGAGTGGCGCCACAGTCGTTGTAATCAAACTGTAGCCGTTAGTTTTGAAACATTTTTTAATAATATTTCTAATGGTGATTGAACCATGAAACTTTTTATGTAGCGTAATTATAACCTAAATTAGCTGAAAATAACCCTAGAACCTAGAGTAAACTCTCCCTTTAAAAGCTGGTGAAGTGTGAACGTTTGACAATTCTAGGTTCTTGTAGAAGCTTCCTTAGTAGAAGGTACAAACAATTTATGAAGTGAAATTTATCGTGTAGGTTATTGTTGTGCGACTCTGTATGTGTATTTCAAACTATTTGTTATTGCAGATGGAGCCGGTGCCATGGTAGGTTCGGCAATCATTGGTGGAGTACTCTTAGCATTGATAGAAGGCGTTGGAATTATGTTCACACGTTTTTCGGCAGAGCAGTTTAGACCAGGTATGTTCACAGAGAACTGGGTTCATGATTGAACCGAAATTTACGTGACAAAATTGTTTTATTTGATATTGTTGACCTGCTATACACTCGATAGATAAGCTCTGAAGCTATGTTTACACCTTTGCTTTGCAGTCAATCCACAGATGGAGCCACCTCCGGGATTCAACCCAGCAGCAGAAGCAACACCATCAGTAGGAAGAGAGCAGCCAGGTTTCAGCGTGCCATTCTGGAATAGTGAGGATAAGCAGACGAGCTAATGTCACAGCGGGTACTAACGTGCAGTAGTGTTTACGGGGGAGGACCGACGACGAGAGGGGGTCACTTCCCGACATGCGTGGGTGGGTCGTCTGCAACAAGGAGCTAAATATAACAAGGAGAGGAAGCGGATTGGCTGTGTGGTTTTCGCTTCAAGGACGCCATCTATGGACCATAATCAGCTGAAACGGCTGTGCAGACCCGAACCCAGAGACAATAGAACACTAATCTGTTCTAGGCCAAGTATGACCAAATATGGCAAAGATTTGGGCCAGATATGGCGGCACTTCCTCTCCTTGTTATATTTAGCTCCTTGGTCTGCGAGTGTCAGCGCCAAAACACATGAACAGGACAACTTTTCGATCGTACTCATGTAATGAGACACGTGTTATTAATACGACACGAGTGGTTGCTGGCGGCGCCACCGTCTCCCGACTAGCACTGGATTCGCTGTGAATCGGGGTAGTAATTGCAGTAGGAAAATTTCTGTTTTGTAGCGTTCGAAAACACTGCGCTATAAACGTGACTGGAGTAGTTTACGATGCTGGTTCTGTATAGCTTGCTGTTACCAGTCAAGTATGTTCGGTATCTGTGTTGATATGACTATGTAAGCTAGGATCTTTCACCAGATTTAATTTGTTGACGGATGTAGATTTTTTATCAAGATTTTGAATACCCTTCTCATCTGCTGGGTGACCATTTAACTATTAGCACTTCCTGGATTGGTAAGCAAAATTTGACCAGAAGCACATATTATATTAAGTTGTTCCTCATTGATTTGTTGTTTTAAAAGAGCTTTAAACAGAATATAGTCACATCAATCATTCTATCATACACTCAAAATAAATACAAATAAATGCTGCCGGATTCATAAGATTAGTCTGATAAAGGCTTTTGTGTCAGCTTATTTTGAATATGATTTTTCTCATTTTCTGAGTAACATTGAATCCTTCTCACTATCTGACATGCAGGGAGATTGGACTTTAATCACATGCAGGAAAACCAAGATTCTGCACCTTGCAGAAAACTGCATTCGGCTAGTATGCTGATTTCAAATGTGGAAAAAAATGCAAAAACGTATATTAGTGATCTTGCTAGCATACCATGTTCATTGTATTGTACATAGTTGTGGAAATAAATATAATTAATTTACACGAATTTCACTTTTATCTTGCTTTATTCTTGGTTTCCGATTTTTAAGTGTTCATGGTAACATTTTGAGATGTAATTTTAGAGATATTTTGTCGGTAAACTGCACAAATTATACTAAGGAGTAAACATAATAAATAAACGTGTAACCGTCGTAAGTCACTAATACACTTCATAGACAGTTATGCCACCTGTCTCCGCAGTATAATATATTATAATTATGAAATTGTTACAACATTTTTACAACCGATTTTTTGTAATTAAAAACGTTCAGACGCACACACAGCGCAATACTTCTGTGACATAAATCTTCGATCAAAAATGTCGTGTCCTGTGTCGTGTTGTGTTATTCTTAGTCTATGATGCTATGTAAAGAGACCAAACTAAAACAGGGACTGAGAATAATATATACATGTACGTATTGTTCTCAGAACAGGGACAGGCAACTGGCCAATATTGTATGTAGTCTTTGCTTCCGAGAGGTGGCGTTGATTACGCAAAGTTTTCAAAAATGGCGGATACAGGAGAAGAAGATTTTACGTATTATTTGGTAAAACATTTATTTGTCATCGTTATTGGTTTAAATAACCTGAATATTTACCACAGATTAGGTAGTAGTATTCAGGGTAATTAAATCCATAGAGATCTAAAAGCGTTATCATGTAAATAGATCACTTTAATTTATTTATCTATCTTGGTAAAATTAATGGTATTTGTATTGTGTAGGCCTGTACTGTACTGTAGTTCCGGACCATGGTAAACGCATTTGTCGTTTTATTTTTATAATATTACTTACCTTCAGCGATATCATTGAACCACACAGCTGTGGCAGTCATTGTAAACCCACGATTGCACTTATTTTATTAGTGATATGCAATTTGCATGCACATAAAATACAATGTTTACAAATAAAATTAGGCATGATGAGGAAACAGAAAAAAATAAGAGTAACACGACATCATTGTCATCAATAAAATCCTCGCCGGAAACTGGTAACAATTATTAACAAGCGCATGCTAATAAAATAAGAAGAAACGCTTGCTAGTATTAATCGTGAGATTAAAATTGGTATAAAATAGTTGAAAATTCAGTTGTAGTTTGGGAATTTCAAGTGTATCTCTATATCACCTAGGGGGCTAACATATTTGCAATATTTGTGGAATTATTTGTAACTTTCTAATCACACACTGCAGCTTGCCTAGATGATGGTGGCGTGCTTGTGTCTTTAATTACTTTGTTATATTCCCATAATATAATACTTGTGTAAAAACATGTGGTTAAACATAAATGTAAACTTCTTCTACTTCTTCTACTTTTATTATGGACAGTCCATGAGAAAAAACGTCCAGGGATAACTTATAAACAGTCATTGGTAAAAGTATCAATTTTGACAAAATATACGGAATCCCTTTTTAGTATCATTGCAGAGTTGCATTCCTTGTGCTAGTTGGTTTTCTATTATCAATAAGTATGATTTTTATCAAGCTCAAGTTCTCATCCTTAGTAGGGTTGATGCTGTAAATTAATATATACAGAAAGAAATCATTTTAGTACATGTTTATTCAGACAAATGATATTCCATGCCATGATGGGATCAAGGTGGTTAGAAAACTGCTTGAGACTGGCAACAAGAGTAAGGCGACAACTCTTGCTCAGCTTTTCCTTGCAAAGAACATTCTTCTACCCACACAGACCTGCTGCACTAAGGTAGGTACCACAAGTCCATGCCTCGGTGGCAAGCAATTTAACCTACGTTGTATAGTCGTGATCGTGTGAGGAACTAGGACAGAATAATCTCTGTCAAACTTATTCTAATTATTGATTCTTAATTTACGTGATTTTCGGTGACGTTTTGCCGTAATGGTCAACGTTTACCAAATCGCTTCAATAAAAGCAGAGCCGATCAATCGTGTTGCTATTGATCCCGAGTCTCGTTGTTTTTGCTGCGGACATTGTTCACGTCGTAACGTTTATCTGGCTCGTTGTTGTAGGCACTGGTCGAGCTGTGGTGTGAGGTTCAGTACGAACAGGATGGAGATATCACAAAGTTCCTCGAGAGCGTGAGAACAATGAGCATGCCCGTACAGTGTAGCATGCATCTATACTACTTCACAAACACGCTGTATGAGAAGGTATACAGGGGTAGAAATTAACTTTTAATTTAAACTTTTAGAATTTAACAGGGAAATCCAACGGACTCCCTGCCCTCAAAAAGAGGGAGTCCGCGGCAAAACGAGGGAGTCCGCAGTCTGAAGTTTAAAACTAAAGATATTAACAATAACGCATGTGCTTGTTTTGAAGATTCATGCGGTTGCACGTCTGCCAAGTTTTCTTTGCACATTTGCTGAAAAAATACGGTAATTTCGTGTGGGAATAATAAGGAGGCCGTGCTCTGGAACGAACTAGATAGTATAGCAGAATTGTCAGGGAGTCACAGGGACTCCTGCATATGTCAAATCAGGGAGTATTTGACTCCGGACTCACGTTAATTTCGCACCCTGGTATGTACGCACTATCTGTCGTCGCTGTCCTCAAAATTTACGCAATATTGATCAACGATGTGAAAATCCATTCCATTACAATGCGCCGCATAAACTGAACTGTGTAATCAGTGTCGCGGTTCATCCCTATTTGAGTGGGCATACGTGAGTTCTTCATGGACCAAAAACAAATATGCTCATGAATCATACATTTTGTGTCTTCATTCAAATGCATTTTTAAATTATTGTACATTCTGTTTGTAACGTGTGCATCGATAATTACCTAAACCAACAAGACAAACATCCGGACTTTACGAACAAACAAAACAAACATCTAGGCTTCATTAATAAACAAAACAAACATTCGTGCTTCACGAATAAACAAAACAAACAGCCGGGCTTGACAAATAAACAAAACAAACATCCAGGCTTCAGGATTAAACAAAACAAACATCCGGGCTTCGTAACTAACTCGGTCACTAACGCTCTCCTTTGCATTTCTTTTGCCTCACCTTGCTCCTAGAAGTTTCACAGTAAACCAAAAGTGCACAATCCACATGCTTATCCGCCCTACTACTGCTCTTCCTGCTGCAGTTTGTCTTTTCATTCAAATGCATTTTTTTTTAGCTTCGTACATTATGTTTGTAACGTGTGCATCGATAATTACCTAAACCAACAAGACAAACAACTGGACTTTATGAGTAAACAAAACAATCAGCCAGGGTTCATGAATAAACAAAACAAACAGCTGGGCTTGACAAATGAACAAAACAAACATCCGTGCTTCACAAATAAACAAAACAAACATCCCAGCCTTCGTGCGGTCACTAACGCTCGCCTCTCTCTTCCCGTCCCGCTGCAGTTTGGCATGGAGGACACGCTCGCGTTGATCATGGAGCTGTGCATCCGTGGGCTGACGCGCGACATGAACGAGTACGACGCTGCGAAGCGCATGCGCAGCGCCGACGAGCTAGCAGAGCTGCAGAACCGCCTCGCCTTCATCTTTGAGTTCCTCGCCAACCTCTTCTACGACAATCACCCGTTCGCAAGGTGAGGCGTCGAGCCGTGGTGGTGTGTTCGTGTGTAGCATGTGTAGTTATCATCATGTCGTGAGAAGGTGAGGGGTCGAGCTGCGGCGGCGTTCGTGGCGCACGGTTAGTGATTTTCGTGTCGACTTGCTCGAATGTGAATTGCGAGGGCGAGTCGCGTTCCCGTGGAAATCGCACGCGTGCATTACTACATATCGCACGCGAACACTAGCACACTTATCGTTTAATCGGGCAGGTGTTTGTTAACTGTATCACGATTATTAATTCACGCCGATACAAATGCCAAGTCGTGCATGTAGTCGTGCAGGTATGTGTTAACTGTAGAATGATTTTTAGTTAGCGCCGACACTTTTGCCAACAATCCTTTTCTCGCGTGATCGCGCAGTCGTACTTTAAGCCTAGCACAATAGTTTCTACGCGTTGACTAATTTGTCATTGATCACTTTTATCGGTTGATTGCGCAACCACACGTTACAAACCACGTATTGATCGGT